ACGTGCATTACGTCTAAATTAACTCATAAAAATCAAATATAATTTCGTAAATTGCATAAACAATTATGAACAAAACAGAATCATGTATTTATGCATTGCTTAATCCAAAGAGCCGAAGCGCCATTCCCACAGATTGCATTTAAAAACATGAGACGCAGCGAAAAGGAATAAACCTCTACAAATTCGTGACGTGTTTTCTAAAAGTTTAAACTGTTTTAACTTTGCATGGCTACATCTCTTGTGTGAGACGCGAGTGCAGCAGTCGTACTTGTCCGTCTAAAAATGCGCTGAATATGCATCTGTGTGAATGGCTTGGTTTCGGTTTTAACCTAATCAAGATCTTCTCCGCATTGAGCTTCTATATTTCTTAATATTTTGAATGAATAACGCAGCAGAGGCGCGTCTCGTGGGCTAGACTAACAAAACATTAAACTACAACGTCACTTACATCATCATCACCGCATCTCACGCGCCGCTGATGACGCTCCCTGATGCACACCTAACATTCAAATGCAAATGTTTATTTTAAATTCGACTAATATTCATTCTTTATTCACAATCTCCTCATCACAGGCAGGCACAGCACTCATTTCAACATGTGTTCGTGTTTGTGTGGGCTGTCTGCGTCACTCAGAGCACGTGCCTATATCGTGCTATATCGAACATTTTTTCTATCGTTATCGAAGGTGTACCGTCGATAAATATCGATACCATTTTATCACCCAGGCCTAGTCCTGCCCTTCATTTTTTTTCTCATTCAAGAAACCGTTTCTCGGATATACGTCACAATAGAGAAGAAAAAGGTGATCACAATTTCCAATTAAGGCCAACTCTAAAGCTTTGCTATATAAAATATTAAAGCTAAACACAAGAAAAAAATCAAGATGAGTTCTCAGTAGGTGAATAATTAGTCAAAATCCTTACCTATCTCTTACTCAAGTCAGTTTTGTGTGTGTGTGTTTAAGTGAGAAAGTGGGAGTTTATTTGCAGGGACTCTGTTTTGTCCTTCCTCTCACAGGAAGTTTTCTGCAGGTCAGAAGTGATTCACTCAAATGTCTCTTCCTCTTTGTCCCTGACGAGAGTGATCTTGTGTTTCAGGATGATGAACAAGTAATTTATGTTGTTTCTCAGAGGTTGAGTGAGTGAATGAGTGTAAGAATGAAAGCTCAAGGTTTCTTTGTGTTGTTTTGCAGGAGTTTGTGGCTGGACGGCAGCTGACGGACTGAACCATGGCTCAGTTTCCCACGCCCTTCGGAGGTGAGTGGATGTTTTCACTGACTGACTGACGCGTGTGTGTTTGTGTGATGGAGGCTGGGTGGATGTGTATGGAGTACTCTGTGTGTTTGAGAGAGAGAGAGGCAGAGAGAATGAATTCAAGTGAGTCAGTGAATGTCTAAAAGGATCAATGAATAGAAGAGAAACGCCCTCACAGAACTGCCGTTTGCAAACTTATGTGCGTTTCATTTTCTGTTTTCACTTACAATTTAATGTGGCATATTTATATACAGTGGGATTTAAAAGTTGCTTTGCATTTTGGAATATAAGATTTTTATTGTGATATTATCTAGAATTTCAACAACTGATTGATAATCATTGATAATTATCCATAATAAGATGAATAACCTAGTATAGTATGTGTAATATAGTTACTATGTTGTTCACATGAGTAAATATGTTCCTCATACAAGTTAACATTTAGTCTGTGATTTCTTTGAATTGAATGTTTAATTCAGTCATTTTAACTTCTTTTAAAATGGTAAGCAATCAAATATTTTATTTTTTGTTTTAGAATGCAATATTTATATTTGAATACATATATATGTATACTATTGTATAGCGCATATATAGCCTAGATTTGTTTTCATAGCCTTCACATTACACATTGGGCAGGAGGTGGAATAAATTTTTTTTTGTAAATAATGGATTAAGCAGTTTTAAAATAAAAATGATTATTTTTGACCAATTTAAAAAAAATTTTTTTTTTTTAATCTTTCTGATTAATTAGGTTATTAATTTTATCAACACGACAGTTTGACTGTGTTGCATATTTCTCAGTGATGTTTTTACGCAGTCAAACGTCAGTAAGAGTTGATTTATCTGTAGATGTGATCTGTCTGTTTGATAAAAATGTTAGCAGGTTAAACACGTTAAAGCGTTGTGCTGCTGTTTGTCTGATATCTTCTCTCTCTTTCTCTCTGTAGGGGGGTCGGATACATGGGTAATATCTGTGGACGAGAGAGCCAAACATGACCAGCAGTTCCACAGTTTGACCCCCACACCTGCTGGCTTCATCACAGGTAATCACCTCTGGTTTTCTTGCTGTGAGAAAAGTACAGAACACTCATTAGTGCTGATGTTTGCTAAAACCCTTTGGAGTTTGATGTTGTCTGAAATGCAAGAACAAATCCCTTGAGTTCTGTGCAACTGAAAATGACCACCCGCAGTGCTGTCAGTCATACATCTCTGGTAGTCAGACATTTTTATGCCTATTATTTCTCTGTTGGATACACAGACACAGAGAGATGGAGCAAATGAAGTGAAAACTGAAAAACAAAAGCCGCCGCCTCTTTCCCACCTTTCTGTTTTTTAAACACATCCCCCATGCTAATAAAAATGCCATGGATATTCTTCATGACAGTTTATTTAAACCATACCACTTCCAGACCTGCCAACCTGTACGCATTTTGCGTAGCGGCTACGCATTTTGACCTCAAAGTACGCTGGTACGATTGATTTGTCACTCTAAACTACGCAAAAATCTAGTGACGCCTCTATCCACGCGCAGTATTCAAAACAAGCAACAGAAAAAGATGAAGAGTTCAACCAATTTTTTTTTTTTGCTTTTGCATTTAAATAATTTCTGCGTTTTATTTCTCTCCTAGTAGCCTATAGTTTATAAGCATCAGTTCAAATCAACTCGCGTTCGCCCCGTCAGATGCTCTGACAGAAAGGCTGCGTGTGAGGCTGACAGAAACGCGCTGTTTAATGTGTTTGAGATGTGCTGTTTTCCTTAATGCATAACTTACATTTCACAGGTATATTCTCCATCTGTAAATGTTAAAAAAGCCATGGAAATATTTCCATTTTGCTGTCAGAAGTGCATGAGCTTTTGCTTTGCGATTCTCCGCTAAACTCCACAGACTTCATTTAGAACGAGCGCCGCCGCGCGCATGCGCGCCAAACAGACAGAGCTCAATGAAATTGGAGCGCAATAACTCTGACTAAAATATACATTTTGCTGAAATATTTGTAGTTGGACAATATATAGAATATATAGACATATGTAGAATTTGAAACCTACAAGTAAGTGTATTTGTATGATAGCACTAACTGTAAAGTGTAATAGGGTAATCAAATAGCCTTTATACTCAATTAGTCTGCTTTTTTATTATTTTCATTTTTAGTTTAGTAACTTTAGCTTCTGCTTTAAAAGGATTATTTTTGTTTTTAGATTGCAATGTTACAATGTAATGTGATTTTAACCCTTTTTTGCACATAATATATGCCTACATGCTTACATTCACTTTGTTTAATCCAAATACAAAATACCGAGATATATAGGCTACCGTATACCGCAAATCAGCCAAAAAATACAGAG